CATTGCTGCTGCCATCCTCAAGATTCCATCAGCTAAAGGGAAGCACAAGGCCTTCTCCACCTGCTCTTCTCATCTCCTTGTTGTCTCCCTTTTCTATGTATCTTTAAGCCTCACATATTTTCGGCCCAAATCAGATAATTCTCCTGAGAACAAGAAATTACTATCATTGTCCTACACTGTCGTGACTCCCATGTTGAATCCCATCATCTACAGCCTGAGGAATAATGAAGTGAAGAATGCCCTCAGCCGGACCTTTCACAAGGCCCTTGCCCTCAGAATCTGTATCCTATAAACATTAAAAAGTGTATCTAAAATTTATAATGAAGAACAATCAGTCTCATATTTGACGCTGCTCTATGCCTGCTTTTACCAGTCTATTGAGTGAAGCTCAGCAGCTGAAATGGCTTTTAGAAAGCTACGTAAAGAGGAAATAAGACAGAAGGTTTTTAGATCTATTTAGATCTATCAGCTTCAAAAACTTCTCCCTGCCATCATAGACTTATGATCTTTTTCTTATGAGTTCAGTTGGTGTTTCAATGCTTCTGTGATAAAGTATTTCCAGATATTTATATTCCTGTGTAACATACATTTTGGACAGCATGAAACTTCTATTAATTCTAACACGGAGACATACACACTGGAAGAGGGCAAAATCCATCAACAATCATCTTGTTGGGCTGGGGATTTAGTTCAGCAGCAAAGCGCCTGCCTGGCAAGTGCAAGGTCGTGAGTTCGGTTCCCAGTACCAGAGAAAAACCAAGAAAAACAAACAAAAAAACAAAAAAACAAAAACAATCATCTTGTTACTTTCTCCTTCTTGAACCAAATCTGACCACTTATCAAATAAAAAATTATTTTTATCCCTCCAACTGCATAACTCTCCAGACTGCCTCATTTCTCTTCTCATTCCCTTGATACAGTGCTAGTTCTCTTAAGCTTATTGATCTGCAATATGTATACAGGAATGTGGATCTGTAACCCTCATGTATGTCTTTATCATCTCAATAGTCATGTTCTTCCTTACTAAATTTTTCCCAAGAAAAATGATCTGTGCTTCTATGAGCTCTCTATTCCTTATTTAGGTTCTTATGCTTTGTTAAAGTGATATACATTTCAGCCAGGTGTGGTGGCACATGTGTGTAATCCCAGCACTTGGGAAGCTGGGGTGGGAGGATCATTGCAAGTTCAAGGCCAGCCTGCGTTACATAAGTGAGTTCAAGGCCAGCCTGAACTGCATAGCGAGACCCTGTCTCAAAAAGACAAAAAATATATATACCTTTCAGTGATAGTACTGTTTTTATCAAAACTAGGAGGTCTTAGCTGACTCCACAAAAAGATTTCTTTCTTTTGATAACTTCATAGTATTGTATTTTGTGGACATGTTGTAATTAATTTAATCCATAGTTTACTATTAAACATAATACTATACAGAATAGCTTTATGTATATGCCTTTTTGTATTTTTCTAGGGTATCTGACAGATGGAAATTTAAGACCTGGATGTCTTGGGCAAAAGCTAACTACAGTATTTACAAATTCCCTTTCAAAGTGATTGTATCATTTTAAACTGCCACCAGCAATTTATGTGTGATTCTTTTTTGATAGCCTAATTAATGATATTTGTCATGAAATATTTGGAATTTTACTTATTTAGTAGTTTTTAATATCAAGGAAATTTTAATCTGATGAACTAAATTTTGAAGAGTAACAAAGATATATGAGACTAAGTGAGAAAAAAGGCAGGCATTTCATTCAGTCTTCTGAGTTCATAGTTCAGATAATTAACAGACATGATAATATTGGCATTCTATTTCTTTGTTTCCTATTTGCATTTTTTTATTTTAAAAATTAAAAAACTAACAAAACAACAATGAAGACAAAATCAAAATAACACAAAATCAACAAAAACAATACATGACAAACAAAATGATAGAAAATGACAATGATTGGTACATTACATACTGTTATCTTCAACAAAGTTCCTCAGTCCACCAGACATAAGAATGTAAGATTGAGCAAACAATCAAAGACAATAACAAGTAAAAAAAAAATTGGAAATGCTCCAGAGCTTCACCATACAAGATGGTAGGAGTTTAACAATGGTTCTTACACTGCGTGTTCTTATACTTTCTATTTTTATCTCTTCAAAGGCACATTTACTTTTTACCAAATGCACCCCATCTTTCAAAGATTTCTCATGCAGCGTACAATACTCTCTGTCCTATGTATTCACTCCAAGTTTAACAACAGATAACTAAAACTTTATACAAACATTTGTGTATTTATTTTTACATGTTCATCTTCCACCAAAGTATCTGTAACTCTTTGCACACGAGAACAGCACAGTGTTTGTTTCTGTTTTAATGTGACATAAGTAGTTCTTAAAATCTTATGTAATGGAAAACTCTCTATTAAGAATATTATGAGGAGCCAGGTGTGGTGGCACACACCTGTAATCCCAGCGCTTGGGAGGCTGAGGCAGGAGGATCGTTGCAAGTTCAAGACCAGCCTGGGCTACAAAGTGAGCTCAAGGCCAGCCTGAACTGCGTAGGGAGACCCTGTCTCAAAAAGATAGAAAAAAAGAATATTATGAGGAAATATGGTTGGAGGTAGGGTCAGACTCAAAATATATGCAACTTCAAAGCCAGAACATTACCATAAACAACAGTTAGTAGCTGTTATAATTTAGAACTAAAATAGTCCCCAAGTCTCACATGTTCAGAGACAGAGCTTTTGGAAGGTGATTGGATCATGGGGCTGCTATACTCATAAGGGGGTTATCTACTGCTGAGTTCATAACTAAGTGTGCTCTTAGGAGCTGATACCTGGACGGAAAAGGTAAGTCACTGGGGGAGTGACCTGAAAGGGTGCATGAGTGTATCTCCCTCCCTAGTTCCTTCCTTTTCTCTCTGCTTCCTGGCTGCCATGAGATGGGCAGCCCTGTCTTCTACCCTACCTACCAACATGGTCTGAAACCATAAGCCAAAAATAAATCTCTCCTCCTTTAAGTTGTAGATGTCAAGTACTTTGTCCCAGCAATAAAAAAGGGACTAAGACAGAAACTGGCCCTAGGTATGGGGTTGTCACTGTGATTCTACCTAACCTTTGAAACTAGTTTGCACAAGAAGGTTGAAAAGATTTTAAAATGCTGGCTAGAGAATCTCTAAATGCTGTAAGCTGAGATTGATGGGAGATTCTAATCAGAGCTCAGAAGACCAGAATATTGATAGAAATGCAGACAGCAAACACCAGGATCAGGAGATTTCAGTTAGGAAAAAAAGATTCATCGGCAATTGGACAGAAGACTATGTATGCTATTCTCTGACAGAAAATTTGTTTCATTGTGCTCATATCCCAAAACTTTTTAAGAGACTGAGATTAGGGGCTGCAGATTAATTAGTCTGGTGAAGAAAGTTTCAAGACAGCCCAAGGTTCAGGCTATGAGATGAGTACTGCTGACTGCTTTTAGCCAGATTTAAAATGAGAATCAAGACCAAAAATAAAAGCTAAATAATACTTAAAATTTCCCTAATAGTCAGAAAGGAAATGCCTGGAAAGTTGGGACAAAGAAGAGCATGGTTGCTAAAAAGATTAACAATTTTAAAAAGCCAAGTACTTTTCATTAGGACAATAAGAAAAATGGTTTAAACCCACCTCAGGGATCAGAAAGACCTCATCTTTCACAGGCTCAATTGTACAAAACTGTAAAGCTTTCATTTAAGGGAAAAACCCCCTACTTCTAGTGCTCAAAAAGGACCACATAGGGAACTTGTTTCATAACATTCTTTCAAATGGGCAGAAACACTGCAGCCATGAATACTGAAAAAAATAATCACTGGAATTTTAAATGTAGAATACAGTTTAATAGTATGCTATCCAAATTCAATACTTACTCAGAAGAGTGAGTTGCTGATACAGCTATTTTTTCTGGCTCTTTCCATGCGTAATTTTTTTATACTGGGGATTGAACTCAGGAAGCACGTGGACCCACATTCCAGCCCTTTTTATTGTTTGATTTTGAAAAAGTCTTTATGAAGTTACCCAGGCTGGCATGAACCTTGTACCTCAGCTTCTGAGTAGCTGATATTACAGGTGTGTACCAATATACCTGGACCATGAGTAATTTGAATCTAACACAAATATTTAAACACATCTCTTGAGGATATGTTTAAATTAACAGAAACAACATAATTTAACACACAAGTAGAAATAAATATTTTTACTGAATCTATCATTTAAGGCATCTTTATTTGTCACAATGGACTCAGAACCACACATCACTTTGATAATTGTTTTGTTTATCCCACTTACATAGAAGCTCTCTTTGAGGATGGCTGGAACTGAGAAAGTGGCTCATAACTATTGATTTACCTCTTATAGACTTTTCTTTTGACCAAAAAAAAAAAAAAAACTATGTCCAACATTTGTAGTTGCTGTTCATAATAACCTTACTAAGTTATTATCTAAGTACCTCATGCTCATATTTTATGTCCTGGCACAGAGGAAAGAACAGTGCTATTTTTACAGCTATATCATTTTCTTTTAGTTACACTGAACATGTAATTTCACATTTTTATATGACCCTTTGATGTTTATTTTCCCTTCTTAACTTTATCTGCTGTGAAGCAAGGGGCATTTACTACTAAATCCTAATGCCTGCTACATATTAGGTCCCCAGTAAATATTTTAAGTGAATGACAGTGGATCTATACATTTGTTCTTTTGTCACTAGATCCTGAGTTACTCCTACAAATGATAGTGTGAGACTTTGATAGAGGAAGAGAATGAAAAAAAAAATGACAGGAAAATGTCAGGTAGCTCTCACTTCACCTCTGGTTGTGATCCCTATGAATCATAGGAAATAAAAGGTTGCAGCATATGTACTAGAGGAAGAAAAGGGGGCTGGGGATTTAGCTCAGCAGCACAGCGCCTGCCCGGCAAGCACAAGGTCATGAGTTCGATCCCGGTACTGGAAAAAAAAACAAAGAGGGGAAAAAAAAAAGGATTACCAAGGGAAACAATAAATAGCTACTCTTTTTAATATATAAACCCATGGGTATTACCTTTTGTGCTGAGAATGTGAAGTATTTCTGTAGAACAAAGTATAAGATGAATGTACCATTTTAAAACAGAACATTTCAAGTTATATAGATGAGAGTGAGACAAAAAAGCCATTATATTAAATATACCCTGGGGAAAATTTTAAATACATATATGCAAGCACTGTGCTAGATATCAGAAAATAATGAGCAAGTAAACTATCATTACTGCTTTCAGTAAGAAACGTGCAATC